AATAAATAAAAAATAATAATATTTCATTCTTTTTATCCTGCATTATTTATCAGTTAACAATAGTAGATATCAAAATAAAGCAACGAAATAATCAATATTATCATTGTAGTTAACTTAAATTAACATTAAACTTTAGTATATGATTTTGAAATCATTAAGTGTACCACTTAATACCAGACACAATAAGACATATTAACGTACTCAGAGAACAGTTTTAATATAATTTGCAGCGATCACAAATATAATTGTCAGAACATTTAGGGATATCGACACAAGCCTCATGTGCCCATTTTTGGCAGCAAGTGCTTCTTGCAAAGCCATATTTTGAAGATGCCTCTTTTAGGTGAATTTGTTTTGCCAGAATGTTCTGAAATTCAGTTTTTAAATTATTTTCATCCCACGAAACTTTTTTTTACTATTTATATTGCTTAAGTGCAACTGAAATCAAAATAACGAATACTAATACAAATAGGAACACACAAGATTAAGATTTGTATACTGTATAGATTGTCCGGAATAGAGGAAAACGTTTTATCCGAAACCAGGGTACAGTAAACCCTTAGCCCCCAGTAAACAGGGGACAGTAAACCCATTAAAAATATTTTTTGTGAAAATCAATGCTGTATGTACACAATACAAAGGTAATTAAAATAATACTTATCAAAAAGTATAATAATGCAACTCACACGTCTTTCGACCACGCAAATTGGTAGATATAATAATTTATAATCTATACGATGCATCAGTTTCCCATCATACGCAACAATCAATCGATCTCCTTAGCTGTGCACACACGATTAGAACGTGTCAAAACTTGTTGTTTGATCTATCCCCTCTACGGTTTATGCGGAAAAACGGCTCAGTAGCGATTCAATTATTGCAGATATAGCTAACGTCCGGTATTAGGTGTCGTCCGTGGTTAAGAGAATTCCCCCTAATATAAAAAAACATTAAAAAATGCGTTAAAAATATCCTTAAACTGCGTTATTTATTTTAAAATAATGTACATTAAAATAATGTAATTATAATAAAGAAAATAATTTATAATATCAATATAAATATAACAAAAAAATATATATATATAAATAATACATTTGTTACCTCTCATCTATATGTATATATAAAGTAATTAACTTAATCAATTAACTCTGCTTCTATTTTTTATTTTGATATATTTGATAAAATATATAATTTCTCATAATTTCAAACAAATATGTGACATTGAATGTGCATGTTTATTTTATGCTTTTGCAGTATTAAGTTTTTAATGCGCGAAATTTCGATATTTTTTATCTCTGACGTATTTTTTTTTATCTCTGCAAAGTAAATATGTATTTTGGTTAATACAATTCTTTCTCATGCAATTATTAATTTTTTTCTTTATTTTAGAAACTTACAATTGTTTAACTTATATGTTTAAATTTACTTCATTTTTAACGCATATATATGGACCCATCCTAATTGATATGTAAGAATAATCATGATATAAAATAAATTTATTAATATATATTTATTAAAATCTCTAAACAATTAAACTAGTGTTGACAGTCTCGTACTCTAATGTTAACTAGAGTGCTTCCTTCGGGACTAGTTATTTAATTATTATTAGATATTATTTATGTTAACAATATAAGAATCGATATATTAAGTGTAAATATTGCGTATATTGATGTAACATACATATTTGTTTTATTATTTGTTATATAATATACACACATTCTTTTCATGATTACATTTATTTTATGTTGTAAACTTAGAAGTTACAAAGGACTGTATATACCTATAATGCTGGCCAATAAATGCTACATAAACAAATTATTTAACAAATGAAAGTCTTAGTAGGAAAACAAAATAACATTTTTACAAAAATCTAATTTTATTTGTTCTAACATACAGAACAGATAGAAATGTGACAAACACGATCGACTAATTACGTGTCATGTTAGATGTTGTCGACACGTAAGATGTTTCCTGTAAAAGGAAGACCACGGAGGTTGGATAAAAGAAAGCAAGCTAGAAGTAAATTTAATTTTATAATCATACGAATGTAAATTTTAGAACATTTATACCAAAGATTATATAGTTATAGAGAAATATTTAAAGATAAATTATATTGTGAAAAAAAATGTATTATGCTTTTATTATTATAAACTTAATCGGTACGGCCGATGTCAGCCGCATCGATAAAACTACGTGTTCTTGTAATTAACATAATCCATGTAGTTCACCTACAATTGCTATCGTGCGGTTGATCACGCGCGTTGCAATTGGCCACGTTGCAATTGCGCACGTCGCATATTGAGTTACTTCTGTCATCGCAAAATTACTTGAGTACGCATCAAAGTCTGTTTTAAAGCTTTTCCGAAATAAATTTTTAAAAAATTTTTAGAAAAGATTCTTCGAAAATTTTTGGTTAAATTTCATATATGAATTCCATATATAAAATAAAATTGGTGCGTTGTAAAAGGTATAAAATAACATTAATTGGACATTGTATGTTATAGAAAACGTATTTTACACCTTTGATGAACCACAACATAAAAACTATTTATTATTAAACCTGTGTGCTGTTTTTTTTTACAATATAGTTTAACAACATATTTTATATATCAAAATTATATCGCGCGACTATAAGAAATATTTCAGACAGCCAAGATCTCTCAGATGTAGTAATGCATCAGCTAGTATTTTAGATACTTTGTCTCCGCCAGCGTATTTCATCTTCTTTGCACTTTCTAAAGCTCCTAAATCTAATATTTCTTTTCTTATTGTTTCTGGACTGACATGTCCTAGTAATACCGATAGAAAAGAGGGCATAAGCATGAAACCGAAGAGAGCACCTCTACTAAAATCATCTAACAAAGCGTTGTACGAATACTTCTCAATGTCCTGAATGCCGGCGTCCAACAGATACTCCTTTAGCGCGTCATAGTAGGCTCTCATGATCTCGGAAAATTTGTTTTTTCTTATTTCATTCGAACAACACAGAAAAAGATGCGTCGAAAGATCGATAACGGGCGTCGAGTATCTGATAAGCGCGAAATCAATTAACATCGGGCGATATTGTCCATCGCCTTCTGTCTTGAAGAGAATATTATTCAACGTAAAATCACCGTGACACAACGTGGCTAACGGTTCCAGTGGCTGCACCGTCTTCATCATCACTTCGTCGAACGAGTTCGAAAATAAGGCTTCCATCTTATCGCAGAAAACTGTATCATGGCCTTGACTGCGAAGATATTCTACCACGCGTACCGACTGAATGTTGGCTATAAACTCGTATATATTCTCCGCCCTCTTTGTGTATCTAACTTCTTGAATTCGCGCCACGATGTCGAAGAACTTTTCTGGCTGCATCTCCTTCATGACATATCCTTTGCCATGAAATCTTCCCAACTCGCGTATCGCAGCTAATGTGTAATCCAATGGAGGATTATATACATGTGGACAAGGATAATATCCTCGTCCGTTAACATTTTCTAAGGCGATTACAGAGTCGATGGGTGGTTCTTCTTTGGCGTAGAAGCATCTCGCGTAGGTCTCGTCCGGTCGAATGTATATCTGATAGAACAGGATCTCGTTGTGAAATTCGATGTGAGTTATCTCGTTAAAGCCCGGCATGGGTCTTTTCAGTACCATAGACAATTCTTCGTTCTGTCCGCTTATCTTGTTTTTAAAGTGCAGATGTACACGATATATATTGGATATCATAAAAATGCCTGTAGTTTCGCGTAGTTCATATCGTACTTTTTCGACATTTGGTCCAAGATTCTCGATGATCTTTGGCATCACCTCGTTGATCCATCTTTGGAAATCTTCGTGGGACATTTTATTTAAATATGATGTGATTCATGTCCGATTAAAAATAATATAATACACGTAGATTATTGACCAAGGTGAGTTTATATATTATTTGACAACTAACGCAATATTACGGCTTTCCGTAAGGTTAGCTTTGTTTTGCGCAAATAAGAACTGCAAATGTTAGTTTAACGTGAAGAGTAGTCAGTAGAAGACTGATTGATACTTCGCAATTGCAAAATAATCAGACTATATATTCCGTATGTTGTTTATAAATGGAATGTTGAACAATTTGTTATCAGCTGATGACTGTACAGATAATAAATAAATGTTCTATTTAAAAATGTCTACACCTGTCGGAAATACTTAGCGGAACAATAGCGTCTTTGTTAGACACGTCTTAAGTGTTTTGAAATTGAAATTGAAACATTGACGGATGCACTTTGTATCTTTAAAATTAATTAGTAAGTAACAATTTTTTGAAAAATATTTTATAATATAATAAATTACATATCGTAAAAGGCATGAAAAAGATGCCTTAAATTTATCTATTATATCAACTGCTTTATTTATATTAAAAAAATTATAATATATACAAGTAATTCATAACAACATAAATATGAACAACATAAGAAAAATATATAAATGACATACTTGTTACTTCTCATCTATCTATATGTAGAAATAAAGTAATTGAAAAAATTTTTAAAGGAATTAAGGCTCATCAAGAATAAGTCAACAATAGTGAAATAACACCAATGCGAGCCAACACGGATGTTGTTGTGTAATAACTTTAACAATATGACTGAAAGCCACACACAAACTGCGCGCCACATTTTTATCAGTCTTGAACACATTCTTTACATAAGACCGCAATCAACTTGCAACGAATTAAATTGACTAGCAAATTTAATCTTTTTAATGCATCTATAAGAATTAATTCCCTTCTCTTCTAAAATCTGTAAAAAAATTTGTTGCAAAATACATATTGTTTATACATATACATATATTAATTATTGCAAAGTCTATTATATATAATATGCCTCGATAATCGAAATTCACTTTGAAATATTAAGCACGAAGCTGGAAGCTCTAGCTCATATAAAAAACGCTTTCCTTTTTTTTATAGTTGTATTTTTATATATCGGTTTAGTGTCATTATTGTATTGCTTTTATTAATATTAAAACAAAAAATTGCATCTTAAATTATTTAGATTGATCTTGTTTTAGTATTAAAAAGATAACGAAAAAGTAACGAATCATTACTTTTTAAGGAACGGTAACAATAACGAGTTATTTTTAAAAATCAGTAACAAGTTACTTTTTTAACTCAGTAACGAATAACAATAACTAGTTACTTTTAAAAAGTAACTTTCCATTCCCTGTCACACCCATTTTTTATTGCATACTTGCAAGCTTTTTGCGGAATATTCCATTGTGCGCGTCGCACGCCGTGCGCGCGTAATCGCATCTTGCGTGCGCACGTGGGCGCTACGCAGTCTTTTAACTTTACATACTATCTTCATGAAATTTAAATGACAGCTCGAATTGTATCTTTTATGATTTAATATTATTGGGGATCTTAGAACAGTACACGCGGGACTCTCTTAAGAGATCCCGATGCACTCGCGGAGAAAAATGTAAAATATGTGTTAGAATTCTAGTAAGTTTTATGGAATTGGCAGATTTATATAAGAACAGACGCCCACTCATGTAAAATTTGCTTTACTTTTCTGATAAATGAGCGATCATCGTATAGTCATACTGTAAAGAACTTTTTACATTTCATGAAGTAAATTTTATGCTACTGCAGTATTGAAAACGTGGCACGTTCTTGATATAAATTTTATGCTACGGTATTAAAGAAATTCATATCTGCGTAAAGTAAATGATAATGAAAATTTTTGCACGCACATATACACGCACGCGCGTGTACAGTAGAGTTTCTTTTTTTCAGTTTCAAACGCATCGACGAAGCTCAGTTCTTGTAACAGTTGTTGTTGTAACTAACGTAATCCATGTAATTCACCTGCAATTGCCATTGAATTGCCTCTTTTATCACGCAATAGTTAATCGAGTTCGCATCAAAGTCCGTTTTTAAACTTTTCCAAATTAAATTTTAAAAAAATTTTTTAAAAGAATTGCAAAAAAGTTTTTAGAAAACTTTCGGTTAAGTTTCACATAAATGCCATATATAAAATAAAATTGGTGCTATGTAAAAGATATAAAATAACATTAATTGGACATTGTATGTTACAGAGAACGTGTTTTGCACCTTTGATGAACCACAACTCAAAAACTATTCATTATTAAACGTGTGTGTGATGTTATTTTCTTAAACAATATAGATTATATTTTATATATCAAAATTATATCGCGCGAATATAAGAAATATTTCAGACAGTCACGATCTCTCAGATGAAGCAATAATGCATCAGCTAGTATTTTAGTTATTTCGTCTCCGCCAGCGTATTTCAGCTTCTTTGCACTTTCCAAAGGTTCTAAATCTAATACTTCTTTTCAATAATATATAAGACTCTTAGTTTTAAACGATTAATAATTAGGATAGACGCTTAGAGTCAATAACACGGTAATTAGTGACTAATTTAATTTTTAAATATAATATTCTTCAACATATCGAATTTCTGCCTTCTTTAGGCCTTGCTTAACGATAGTTATAAAAATTCTTACATTAAAAATACTATTCAGTTATTTACCTTCGTCCCGCATGTGGTTCCGCAGTCACAATAGATAGAAGGTCCATAATGTGTGAACATCGCTTTGAATTGTCTGATTAAAAGATCTATCATTTGTATAGTGATATGAACTAAGTTATATTATTCTAAAGTAATGTAAACTGTATAATTTATGAAGCCTAATCACTCATCACATTCCGGAACAAGTCAATACGGTTGTAATAAGAATTCGCAGCGATCGAATACGCCTTGTCATATAAAATGTCGCGTATAAAATGTGAGCAGTAACGTATAATAAAATGTTCTTCGGTCGTGATGTTATGTAGATAAAGGTATAAATATGAAAATAAATATAAGTATAAAAACAATATCGATCGTAATGATAAGTAAAACATATAAATACGAAATAAATACAAAACTAATAAAAATGACAATGTCGAACGAGGTCCATGCGCAAACGATATACATTATTGTTTCAATTTCGCTAAAATCGAGGAATATGCATATAAAAATTCTGTGTTAGATTGTTAGTTATAAGACTATTTTTTTGAAGCGTGATGTGTAACATCTCAGAGATTAATCTTTTGTTATAGAATCTTTCTGTGTCTAAAATCTTGACATTTTCCCAGTCGAAGTCATGATCGAAACGCAGTCTATGTTCAGTGACCACTGAATGTGTGTCACTGTTACGATTAATATTATTCCTGTGCTCGGAGGTTTTGATTTTAATTTTTCTCTTCGTCTGGCCAACATAAGTTGCCTCACAACCTTTGCATGATATTTTATGAACTACGTTCTTTCTTATGTCCCCTGGAAGCATGTCTTTATGAGATTTTATTATTCCATCTAATTTATTGACACTAAAATACGCTGGTTTAGCTTCTAAGTTTTTTGCTATATTAATGAATTTTTCTGAGATATTCGGTATGTATGAAACTGTGAACCATTTTATTTTTGTGTCTCTGTTACAGATGTGTTAATGTCCAAGTCTTTTTTAGTCCGTTTGTTAAAAAGTGATCTTATTTTTGTATTCACAGTGTCCATTAAAACTCAAAGGATAGTCGTTCTTTAAAAAAGTCTTAAGAGGATGCTGGAAGGTCAGAATTACCGACACATTACAGTTGAGTAAATTTCTCCGAATTGACTGAACGGAATTGAAATTCTTTCACAGGATTGAAATAGACATAAAATTGTGGTGCTAGACGGACGAATTTGTAAAATCGGAAAAAAAATTTGTAAAATCGGAAAAAAAATTTTTTGTAAATTCGCATAGTTCACATCGTACTTTATCGACATTTGATCCAAGATTCTCGATGATCATCGGCATCATCTCGTTGATCCATCTTTGAAAATCTTCGTGGACCATTTTATTTGAATAAGTCATTTATGTCTGAGTAAAAATAATATAATACACGTAAATTACTAATCGAGGTGAGTTTATATTATTCGACAACTTATAATATGATACTATAATAACGGCTTCCCGTAAGTTTATTATTTTGTTTTGCGCAAATAAGAACTGCAAATGTTAACGTTATGAGAAAAGAAGACTGATTAATAGTATTAATACTTCGCGCAAAATATTCAAACTGTGTACATATTTCGACATATGTTGTATACAAATAAAATGCTAAACCACAATTTGTTATCAGCTGATGACTATGCCAGATAATAATTAATTGACCTGAATAGGTGTAGCTATAAAATAGCTACACTTGGTGGAAATACCTGGCGGAATAATAGAGTCATAAGTAGACAGGTGTTAGGTGTTTGAAATTAAAATCGGAATGTAGACGGATGCACTTTGTATCTCTATAATTAATTGTAAGCAACAATTTTTCAAAAAGTATATTTTATAATATAATAAATTACATATCATAAAAAGCATAAAAAAGATGCGTTGAAAGTATTCATAAACTCTATTCATTTTGAAATAAATTATATTATAATAAATACAAGTAATTCATAATAATATAAATATAAGGAAAATAAATAAATACACTTGTTACCTTTCATGTAGGTATAAGCATAAATAAAGTAACTGACTTAATCATTTAAGTCTGCTTCTGCTTTTTATTCTGATTTGTTTGTTAAAATTGACTCATAATTTTAGACAAGTAGGTATATATTTCAGACATTGGATTTGCACGTTTATTTTATACACATTTGCATAGTTCCGTTAAATTTTTATTGCATGAAATTTCGATATTTTATGTCTCTGACGTATTTTTCTATCGTATAACTTCGT